TGAGAGTCTGGAGCTTGATGATGTATTTGAGAGCCTGCCGCAGCCCGAAGGTACTGGGCGAGTCGTTGCAGTGTCCGCGGTCCTGGGGATGACGCCGGTCGACGCGGGACTGGCAGCTGCGTGGGTGGTGCGCGTTCATTAACTTTCCGGACAAGAGCTCGCCCTCGACTCGGCGCCGGTTGGGGAGACTGTGGAAGAGCTGAAGAAGCGTCTGTGCGAGGCATACGGCTTTCCTGTATATCTACCTACAACAACTCACGAGTGATAGCATTATTTTGCCCGGTTGCGTCTCGCTGAGTGAACTGTCAGTTTTGGGTCGCGAAAGACTGACCCTGCTGACGAGGATGATGGACAGGTGTACCTCGTTGCATTCAGCGCTAGAGGATTTGGGAGAAGGTGTGGGATTGGGCAGAATTGACACGGTCCGCTGTCTGTTGAACGCCGGTTTGGACGCTGATGAAGCGGCGCGCTGTGAGCCAGGAACTAGTATGCTGATGTTGGCATGTTTGCATCGACAGGCCAAAGTCGCGGAGTTGCTCATCGAAGGTGGTGCTGAAAGCGATTTCTTGGGTCATCAGACCAACAGGGCGTTGACGCTGACGTGTGTGCATGGTGATGTGCATGTTGCAAGTTTGCTGCTTCGAGGGCGCGCGGATGCCAACTCACTTGATAGGAAAGGCGCGTCGCCGTTGATGACAAGCTCCCACTTGGGTTACTCTGGAATAACGCGTCTGTTGCTTCAATCTCGAGCTGACGCGTGGTCTTGGGATGCAGAGGGCATGACGGCACTCATGCTGGCGTGTGCTGGAGGTCACGCGGAAGTCGTCCGTCAATTGATCGACGCTGAAGCCAGTGTGAATGCATGGGCGGACCAAGGTATGACTCCGTTGATGTTCGTGGCCAACAGAGGACTTCTGTCGACAACGCCCGTCTTCTATGGCGTAGGTGGCAATGACAGGATCTGCTTCGAGCTTGGTCACGTGGAGTGTGCAATTTTGCTGCTTTTCAGATCGGCTCGCATTGATGACAGGGACATTTTCGACAGGGCCGCGTTCATGTTTGCGAGCGTGAACAATGATTTGGATATGGTGGGCTTGCTGCTTGGATTCAGAGCGGAAGTGGATTCTTGCACCGATCTCGGCTGGACGTCGTTGTGTGCTGCATGTTGCCTCGGCCGCGCGGAGGTGGTAGGTTTGCTGCTCGAAGCCAGGGCAGATGCAAATCGATGCTAGGAGGATGGCGCGGTGCCACTGCATTATTTCGCGGCTTGTCGTGGCAGGACGGAAGTCGTCGCTCGCTTACTTGGGGCTGGTGCCAGCAGATACTTGGCAGACGGTGTAGGGGTCACACAGCACGTTCATTCGCATTGATGGGCGGTCAGACGGATGTCCTTCGTCTGCTGCTGTGGGACTGAAGTAGAATCAACCGCGGGATTTCTGGTAGGTCGGTTTTGGATTTAGCTTGCCTAAGTGTGCCACTCGAGTGGCGATCGCCGATGGCATCGTTGCTGCAGTGACGGACGCAGGTGACCCGGTATGGGAAGCTGCGTTGCCTTGATGCCGAGAAAGCTCCTTTCGCATCGGAAATTGCGCAGAATGCCCTTTCTGCGCCGAATCAGTATATTCGTGGAGATTCTTTCTTCTGCGACGCAAAAAAAAGCATTGTCTGGCAGGGCTGACCCGTGTGCACTGTTGCGTGCTTTGCCAATAATGGAGTTGTTTGTGCGCTGAACTTGCCTTGGTGGCAAGATCCGCATGCTCCGTTCAGAACTCAGTTCTTGTACGCTGCATAGTGTCGATCATTTGAACAAGTGTTTATGTGAGGTCCAGATGGTCTTCGCCATCAACGAGTCCATCGCGCACATCGAGAATGTGGCCAGACACGCGCACACCGACAAGCTTGCACAGACAGACAGGCAGACAGACAGACAGACAGACAGACAGATAGACAGACAGACAGACAGACAGACAGACAGACAGACAGACAGACACACACACACACACACACCCACACACACACGCACGCGTACACACACGTTTGTGTAATTACACAGAATCGAATATTACTCAATGGATGAGCTGACATAACTTTTGAGGATTTGTGAGTTTTCCAAAAGCCTCCGGGTGAATGCTGGTTTGTATGCCTGGCAGTGCCTGGGGGTTGTGGTGTCATTTCCTACCCTCCCAGGTGCCTCTAATGCACTTTCGCTTGTACATACGTTGTCCAGGACCCTTTGTTTCTTATCTTATCGTCCTTATCCTTGCATTTGCTTGGACAGCTGTGGGGTCCGTAGCATTTTCTGGCAGATCCACTGCTGGCACTGCTGGGAGCCTCTGGGATGAAGGCGAATCAGTCAACAATAAAGAACCCTTAGCCTGCCTAATCTTAAACTCCTACAGAGGATTGTGTTATGAGAATAATGGAAATCGTCAACGCTACCCAGGTGCACTTGCTAGAGCACACGGAAAGCCTAGTCAAAGCCCTGTCATCTCGAGCGTCGGTTTGCGGGGGAAATAGCCGGACGAGTAGCTTGTAGAAAAAAATAACCAGTGGCCCTTAATCATCCCACCTGCGCAACACCCGCGGGTGGGAGAGTGCGATTTTTGCTACGTGTTCACCCCAGATCCTTTGAGATTTAAAAAATGAAAAATATCGAGAGCGCATGCATCTAGCTGTGGAGTCAATATAGGTTGTAAATAGAATAATATTTGCTTAATGGAGGATGCGAAGCTTATAATGTGAAATATGATTAGTGGAGAGGGTCTGAGATTTGACCGTTTGAGATAGTTGGGATGAAATTCAGAAAATTTTTGACAACATATTTTGATAGGTCAAAAAATCCCCAACAAATTTGGTAGAAGGTACCGTCACAACTCCGACGGGGAGGGGGCTCAGTGATCACACGCAGAGCTGCTCGGGAAACTAAAGGTGGGCATGCAAGCTCAGCATAGACCTTCGCACTCCCGAGCGCTCATGACGAAAAGAGCCCTCGCTTCTGTTGTAGTGCTTGGTGCAAGCTAAGAGACTTGGTTGAACTGAAGTCTATCCCGGCATGTTCAATAGCTGGCAGTTGGAGTGTCCTCGTAATTCTGGGCGCAAATGACGCCCCTCTCGGTGGGCGCGGAGTGTCGTGACGCGAGCACATGGGGCATCCTTGAAATTTTGGGTGCAAATGACACTTCTCTCTGTGCACGCGGCGTGTCGGGATGTTTCGGCGTGTCGTGATGCTGGCGCGAAGAGCGCCCTCGAAAATTTGAGCGTAAGTGATGACCCTCTCGGTGTTCTCGGCGCGTCGTGACGGAATCCTCAACTTTGAAAGAATCCCTACAGCTGCCGCTAGCCAAATCCCGTGCAGCTGCGCTTAGAAAAACAATTGCTTTCGGCCTTTCGGACGTGTTTTTTTTTTGGCTGTCGGAATCTTTGCAGCCGTGCCAAGGAAAAACAGTTTCCGGCCCTCAGAACGTGTTATTTTACTTTGCATGGTTGTGGTTTAGCAATCCTTGCTATGGAGGCGGCTTCTAAGGAATGTTTACGGCCGCGCCTAGGAAAAGGAATGCCGCCGGACCCCAAACGTTTTTCTTGGGCTTTGCCGTGGTTGCAAGCAATCCTTGAAGCCGCGCCTAGGACAAAAACCAGCGTTGTGTTGATGTGCTGGAGATGTGACTAGCCTTCATTGGCTTCGGTTTGCCCTTAGGTTTGTATGAACTTGATGACGGTACAGTAAGAATGCTAATCTAGATCTCTTGTTTTTGCATATAGAACACAAGTGTGATGATTCATATAGCAGTAAGCATATGTTGCAAGCTTCCAACACGGCGCAAGCATCACGGTTCAACAATGCACATCTAGGAGAACCTTCGCAACACTTTTGGGAAGAATCGTTGATTCGTTGATGTTTTTTTGCAGATGCCCAGGCAACAACAGCAATTTGTAGAATGGGAAGCATGTCTAACGAAACACAGGCTGTTGCAATTTCATTATGGCCGAACCTCCCGATACAGCATGCCCTGACGTTGCAAATTCGAGAGCTGTCCATGTTGAGCCGTCCGGATGCAAAAATCCAGCTCCAATATCGAGCTGTGTGCTCATGAAGATACAACGTACAAGGTAGCTTATGGTGGTTTGCCGTGGCATGAAATGGATTTATTTGGCCGTGCTGAATGTCCATTTGTTTCGCGGGGTTTTTGTTACCACGCAAACAGTTTTCGATTGGTATCTTCGCGAAACAAGAGGCGAACATAATTGAATAGGGGCACACTTGTGAATTCTGAATGGCCTGCTGCAGTCTTTGAACATCCTTGCCCTGTAAGCGTGAAGCTGCTGACAATTTGCAACATGGTGCCTTGGCTGGTCGTGCTTACGCATGAATTTCTACAGCAAACCATTTTGTGGACAATCCGACAATTCTGCGATCCCGTTATACCAAGGCGCAAGCAGCAATTATTGGAGCTGCGGCACTGCTTGGTGGCTATGCATTCTTGGGCCCCAGCACTCTGAGTGCAGCCCCATCCGCGCCTTCGCAGCTGCGAGGTCCATGCTTTGGTTTCCAACTCTTTTCCAGCAAAGTCCTACGAGCGTCGCCATTGCTTGCGAAGGAATGCAGGTAGCACCGTTACTCATCAGGTGCAGCACCTGGTGCAAGCCGCCATTCATCTGCCGCAGCACCGCTGGCTGGGGCATTTGCTTGCGTTGCAGCAGCGGCAGCAGTGAGCAGGACGGCGACAAGCATGGTACAAGTCCAGTGTGTTTTCATGGTCAGAAGAGGTGTTTATGCTGCATGTATGCGTAGGAGGTCAGAGACAAGTACAGCATGCCGAGCCGCGGCCGTCAAGAAAAAGGGTGTGAAGGCAGCATATGAGACGACTTGAGCCACATGCAAGTGGCAAGCAAACATTTTTTCGGCAGGAACAGTTTGGCACGCACTTGTTGGCAATCGTGGGCAATGGTGGGTGTAGTCGCAAAGAAGTTATACGGAGTGCTGAGCTGCAAATGCTTTGCAGGTGGTTCATGGCAAGGAGATCCCTTGGAACCTGTTCACCCCAAAAGCCCCTTACCAGGGCAAGGCCGTGCAAGCAGGGCAAACCTTTTGTGAATGTGTGTATGGCATAAATTGCTTGTGCTTGTCAAGAGTTCCATCAGCATCCTTGAGTGCCACAGTGTCAGTGTTCCAACGTATTCTCTGCGGCTTTGCGGGCGGTCTGCTTTTTGCAGGTTATCGAAAACGACGTGCACCCACAGACCCTCACGGAAGATACCGGGGATGCAAATTGGGAGACCACCCACGTGACCTTTGATCACGGCGGCAACGTCCCATACATCGAGGGACCGCGAGTGTGAGTTTGCCTCAGCATGGTGATTTGTGGTTCCAACACCTCTTGGTAAATGTCGGCTGATAGGACAATCAATCGGCGTCATTGCGCCGGGCCGCTTCGATTTGCAAATTGGTGGTTTAAAGCATGCAATAGTACTTGCAACTTCAGCCCGACCACAGCCATCGATTGAGGACCAGACAAGAAGGGCGAGAAACCTGCGAGGATTCGACTCTATTCCATCGCATCATCTGCTGTTGGTGACAATCAGAACTCCAAGACGGTGTCTCTGACACTCAGCATATTATGAGGGCATGCAAAGCTTGGCTTATTCCATGTTGCAATTTGCTGTGCGACCTAGTTTGCGTCTTAATGCAAGTCCTTGCTGCAGGTGTGTCAAGCGTGTTGTGGAGGTGGATGGTACGCACGCTAATCGTGAGGTTGGAGAGGACCTTGCAGAGTTCTTGCGGCCACTGGCAGATGGAGTTTTATGCTTGTATACGCGTATGGAGTGTAATGCTCAGGACAAGCCTGACAAGGCTGGAACGGCTTTCCCGGACAACAAGGCTCCACGCAACACAACTTCCCTGTAAGCAGTCACCTGCCGTTTGGGACTGTGTCATACATTCACTAGCTGTGCATGAAAAAGAAGTGAGGTCTACCGTGGCGTCTGTTCCAACCACATCTGTGACATGAGCCCAGGAGAATGGGCCTGAAAACAGTTTGTGGAGTCTTCCGATTTTTGAACAGCAAAGTGTAAATCCGTGTTAGATTATGAGCTGACGCTGTCTTTACATGCTGTCTTTAGCTGTTTCTTTGCAGTTGTCTACTGACAGATGTCAAACACATCTTGAAGGCCTTCAGGTTTGAAGGTGTAAAGCCAGGAGATGATGTGATGATCACTGGTCCAACTGGTGCTGAGATGCTCCTGCTCCTTGACAGAGTACTTCGTAAATGGCATCAAATATGAGGTTCAACCTGTGATGCAGACTTTGCTCCAACTCTTTGCGCACTGCAGAGGCCGGAGTATGTAAGGCCCCTTGCACAGACCATGCCTGGGCCCATACGACTTTCCATTATGGAGGCTTTGAGCCCAAAACGGCAAACACCGTTCAGATTTTTTAAGCACTAGGAATTGAGCCGTTCAGCAGCGCAAGTTTGACATTTCGAAGTGTCTGAGGCCGGAAGATCCTGAGGCCAACATCATCATGCTGGCCACAGGCAAGGTTCCAGAAAATGGAAAACATGCTAGCTTCGTAATTGGAAGCGCAGCAAATAGAGCCAACAGACTGCCTGCTGGGCGCAGGCACGGGTATTGCCCCGATGCGCGCTTACTGCCGACTGCTCTTCCACGATGATGCTGGTGCAAGCGCCGTATCGAAGCTGCAGTTTTCAGAGCTGTCCAGCCCATTTGTAATCATCTAACTTGCATTTTCCTAGCTCTTGAAGCCTCTCGAGTTGTTTTCAGGACGGGGGCCGAAAGTTCAAGGGCCTCGCCTGGCTGTTCATGGGCGTCCCATACTCCAAGTCCCTGCTGTACGATGATGAAGTTCGGACGCATTGACTTTGTCTTGAAAAGGCTCTGAGGTGTCTGAGGTGTTGGAAGTCCACGCTTCCAAGCAAGCCTTTCGGGTGGATGGGATGATGCTGATAGAGTCAGGTCGGGGTTGTGCGGGGTCTATGTTTGGCCCATCGCCGCTAGTAGCATGCCTACAAATCAATTCCTAACATGGCTAGACCAAGGAACACCAGGACTACAAGAAGAATTATCCTAGCCAATTCAAGTACGACTACGCAGTCAGCCGCGAGCAGAAGAACGCAGCTGGCCAGAAGATGCAGCTCAGCCGCCAATCTGTCGCCTGAGACCTTCAAAACTAGAGTTTTTGCTGTGGCTGTGAGTAATGTTAGGGCATGATCACTGTTGACGCTCAGCGCGGGGTTGTGCTGATGCCAGGTACATTCAGACCAAGATGGCAGAGTATGCGGCGTCTGAGCGGCATGCAGCTCACGGAATTGTTTGATGTGCCTGTTTTGCCGAGGATGAGCTCTGGGAGCTGATGCAGGATGAGAAGACCCACGTCTACATGTGCGGCTTGAAAGGCTCGCCCACACGGGCGCGTGCAATGAAAGCTTTTACGTAAGTTTTTGAGCTTTGGTTTCCTGTAGATATGCGTACTTCCGAGCAGAGCTGGAGTCCAGGAGTCTAGAGTTCCTCAAAAACTCGCACCGTCAGGTCAGGGTAGAAGTTTGGCTGGAGGGCAGGTATTTGAGGATCGTATTCTGGCATACTTGGATTTTCCGACGAAAGGGTGGAGCAGTACCATCTTGTGGCTGAGATCCAGACCAACTGCTCATTGCTGATCATTGAGAAACGGTCAGCTTCCGGAATAGCTGAAATGCAAGTTCTGAGTATGTAACAAGTCAAGAGATCCAGACGGGAAGGTATGGAGTCTGGCATGGCTGAATGCTTTGGACCCATTGCAGAGAAGGCTGGCAAGGACTGGAATCGAGAAGCCTCACAGAAGGTGTTTTGCGTTCTAACAGAAGCGCTTAGCGGCCTGCAGGACTGGGCTGAGTTTGCCAAGGCCATGAAGAAGGACCGGATTTGCGTCATTGAAATGGGCGGGCATTGAAGCAGAGTTTGGGCATGGGGCTTTGCAACAAATGACAGGCTGACCGCTACCACGTCGAGGTCTACTGAGAACAGAGCTCGTGGAAGACAATTTTCAGCACTGGAGCTGGCAAGGCAGTTTGTGACTGGCAGTTGGCTCTTCTTATAGCAGAACGATCGTAGTAAGCAGCTACCAGCGACTTGCTGTGATTTAATTTGACGTTTTCTTGGCGTTGGGAGCATTCACCCAATTGCCCTGGAATTTTCCTTGAATAGTTCATGGGGATCCCACTCCCCCGGGCCTGTCTGGCCATGCGGATGTAGATTTTGTGGCATGCATGTTGCGACATGCTGCGGGCTCTTCGCCCCAAAGCATTGCAGAGTCCCGAGGGTCGCCTCCCTACAAACGGCAATAGGCGGAAAAGTTGCCAGATAGTTTGCTTACTTTTTGGATTGATATTTATAGTCAAGCAGTGCGCTCTGCAGCCATTCGAAGCTCAGCTCAAGGTTGCACCATGGCCTCAAGCAGGCCAGCAGGGCGCTTCAAAACAGCCCCGCGCTTTCGCATGCTAACTCAGTGAGCACACGCGGCAAGCTAGTCGTAGAGTATGGAAGGTTCGAAATGCTTGTTACTTTGCCAGCACATGTAGAGGTCGGCTCTATTCCTAAAATTTGTCACTCCGTCCCATCAACTAAAATTTTTAGGCAATGTCCAACTCTTTTCCGCAGCAATGCCAGCTGTTGTGCTGGTTCCACGCCTGCCGGGGCCAGTGAATGCGCTCGGCCTTCATGCACCTCTAGCGGCACTGAAAGAAGAGGTAGAGAGTGAGTATGCTGCAAGCAGCTCTTTGCAAACTGATTCGGCAAAGTGATCCAGGTGCCGCGTCCTCGACTCCGCTCCCGCTCACGCAGTGAGCGGGAGCCTGAGCATGATGCGCGACGACAGGACGGTTTTGAGCCGACATTTGTTTGTTCGTCAGTTTGCTCGTTCATTTCTTGCGTCACAGGAGAAGCGCCGGCAAAAACGGCGAAGATGTGTTACGAAGCGGCACAAGGCAGCTAGACCACCTCATATTGGCAGCTTCTAATGTGGCTGGCAAGCTGCTGAGTCTTCCTGTTTGGTGTTTGCTAATCAATGGCAGGGCTGTCGAGGGATGCTGCACAAGACCACTCTTGGCACTTGGCCGCGTGCAGGGAAGCTCAGCCATAACACCTGCGCCTTGACATTTTAACCCCGCAAGCAGTTTTGACGTTCGAGGCTGCGCGCCGCCTCCGCTCGAGCTCTCCCGTCAGCACGTGTACAGAGGTCATCCTGTTTGGGGTTGCCTTGAGAGCATAGTCTTATCTCCTTAAAGCTGGGATTTTTAGAAGGATGATTCTCAGCTCCGTTCGCGCTCGCGCAGCAAAGCTGGGACGGAGGCAGACAGCCGCCGGGGTCAGAGCTGAGCACCAACTGATCGTACTTGACATTTTAGAAGGAAGCTCGGCGATTTACCCGACACAGACGTGCACCAGTTGTGCAAAAGGACAGCCTGCACTTCCAGCTTTGAACACGTCTGAAAATCCGAAGGCTTGGCTGAGTGCAGCTGCAGGAGCGGCGGAGCACGCTGCGACCGAGTGTCGTGCGCCCGCGTCTGCATGCAGGGAGCCCAGAATGGACAACATTCTGCACAGAGTGAGGCATTAAGTGGAGAGGTAGAGTAGGGCGAAGAAATTTTCCACGGTGGTGAGGGTTCTAGCTGCGATCACAGAGCTTGCTTGAACATGACCACCCAGTTCCAGACACTTCACGGTTTTGCTGCTTTGGTAAGAAGCTGCTCGCCGAGAGATTGTGGAAATTTTCCGTAGGAGTCGTTGACCCCATTTCTCAGAGCGGCAACGTTCATAATAGGCAAGCGCAAGCACCTCCACTGCTCCCTGAGGTCTCTGCACGGGTTCGTGAGCTCCAGGAGGATCATGACTCTGAGCTGTTGTGCCTGGCCTTATCAATTGTCGGCAGAGCGGCAGGCCCTTAAGCCCGGGCACGGAGATAGGCATCATGATGCCGTGATAGTGCAGATTTGAGCTCGGTGCGGTACATGGACACAAGAGGGCAACAGTATCTGTAGCTTGAAGCGATGAGGCTGTTTGTCTAAGTACGAGATTCTGTCAGCATTCTACATGATCCCTTCCCAGGAAGCGCCTGCTCCTATCAGGGCAGAAAAAGATGCAGGACGGGGCCACAAACTAAGTTGAACGTTACGGGGATGCTTTTCCATGCTTTTCCTAGTCCTGCTGCATGCACCTTCGACATTGCACGACTTGATGCCTATTCAGTTCAGAAGTTCATGACGCAGTCAGGACCAGAACCCATCGCCAAAGCGCGAGGTACCACAGCCAAGGATCTCCTGGGATGGAGTTTGCAAAGATGGTTGAGACATGACTTTCTTGCACTGACACTGTTGCTGAATGACCCTTCCTTTTGCTCATTTGACTCCTTGTCAGCATGAAGTGCTTGGCTGCCTACCTCAGTGACTCAGATCCTTGAGCCCCATCGCAGAGGCAGTCTGACGGTGGCGAACCGTCTGCACAACAGGGCGAGCAATGCAAGCACCTGGCCGACAGCCCCAAGATGGGTGCTGCGGTCGAGGAGACTCCACGCTGCTCGGCTTGCTTAGCTCTCGCCTGGCAGTTCCCTTTTTGACATCCGGTGGCTTGGCGCCTGGCGCCTTGAGCCAGTGGCCGTCTTTTCTGCATTTTTTGAGTGTGTGTTCCTGTGTACGTTTTTTTGGGCGTTCTGTCTGCACCCAGTGAGCAACAGAGCAAGCAAATAGGAATCCTTTGGCGCGCAAACATGCTTGACCTTGTGGTTGGTGAGTTTTATTGTTGGTTTCCGGGCGTGTTCCCCCTTGGCAAGTGGGGTCGGGAAGCATTTGCCAATTGCTGCGTGTCCTCCTTATGCCTGATGTTGCTAAAAAGGTAATTGTAAGACATCGCAAAGCAATTATGTCTGGCGAGGCTTGGGGTTTGGCGCTGATTTGGGAGGGGGCGTGGCTTGGCTGGCGCCGGGGGCTTGGGTTCGTGGGCCACAAAAAAAGAAAAACATCGGTCTCCTACACCCACTTCCAGAATCCAAATGAGTGTCATTGCCGGGGGGGGGGGGGGGG